TGAATGCAGAGTTTTGATCACATGATTAAGAACCAGTGGTTACGTTATCCAAATGCCAAAGCTCTCCAGGCCTCTGTGGTCTGTGGGGAAAGTAATTGCTACAGCGCCTTAAGCCACCCGCTCTGGACCTCTGCTGCCACATCCTGTGAGCAGTGGCTTCGCTTTTCAAAGATATCTCCGCAATTTTCTCATGAGCAGTACGTTGTCTTTTGTTTCTCTCATCCAATTAATTCACCAATATCTTATCAACAGGTGTCTTTTTTGATTCAGCACGTATTTATCTTCCATTTCCCTTCTCCCTTTTTTACCGCCCTTTTCATCTCAACCAGCCTCCTCTAGAGTGTTGCCAGAGCGCGACCAGCGACTTTGAGGGAAACCTCCGCTCTTTCAAGTAATCACCACTTAAAGGGAATTCCTTCCCCAGCAGCAGGCCTGCAGCTCTGCATCTTTGAACATTTGATGGTTTGATGGCTATAATTTGCCTAAAATAACACCAATAAAGTCACAAAGCTGTAAATGCCTAAATAGTTAATGTACCAAGATGAAACACGAGGCAGCCTTTGATTTTGTAGCTTTTCAAGAACGTCTTGTTTGGTGTGTTTTGATGTATTTTTACAGATATATCTTTATAAAATATATTTTTACAACATCTATTTAAAGTGGTTGTAGTTACAACTCATATTGAATACAGGCTGTTAATTGGTTTACAATGTAAACGCAACTTTGAGCCATTAAGCTTAGCCATAATCGTTTAATATTCTGCAATATAAGCTATTCTTGCCCAATGCAAGAGGCTTTACAAACATTTCTTCACACGCAACATAAAAGTGAGTTAAATTATTATGCAGTTTGAATAATTAGCAGAAATAAGCCCTCAATATTATAACACCTCAGTAATGCTTCATGCCGCAGTGCATTGTTCATTCTCCAGGCTCGGCCAATAGGAGGAGGCGGCATCTTTCAAAAGGAGGGGAAAGCCCTGAGTAACATAGACCCTCCACCTGAACCGCCTCTCAAGTCTACGCCCTCCCTCCTCTCTTTCTCGTATTGCTCCTTCCCTCCGTTTATGTCAGAAAATACCTGTTGGCAGACATTGAACACCTCACCTTATAATGGACCACAAGGAGAGTTAGTAAGAGATGCATCCCATTGTGACATGCAATGAGAGACAGGTTAGGTATGATTGTAGTGGGAGCTCCAGTTGGGTTAGAGCAGGGGTGTCCAAACTACGGCCCGGGGGTCAAATGCGGCCCGCGGACCATTTTGAATCGGCCCTCACTGAGGAAAAGTATAATTATTTAAGTATAATAAACTTCTGCTTGTCTTATATTGTACTTCTTAAATATATTTGTTCAAATATATTACACAGTATTCATGTGTTAATAGGCCCAATTTTCAAATAAATTCAGTAAATGAAAGTTGAAAACATGTTCTAACAAATCTAAATTGATAAGAAAAAAGCCCAATAACAAATGTACATAACAACCTTGAAATATACCCTTCATATTTCCTCTTATTATAAGCAATCTGAAGCTTCTGTTTTAAGGGATGAGCTGCTGACAAAATTAAAAGCATTTTCAAGTATCAAGAATAATGTATCTACATTGGATTGACTGCCAACTTATAACTTAACTTATGAGGCAGTATACCTCAACTCTAGGGAGTGGCCCAGCCCTACGTATATTTGTCTGTATGTGGCCCTCGGTGAAAAAAGTTTGGACACCCCTGGGTTAGAGCATTGTTCAAAGAAGTAATGAAGCGCCTTTTTGCTGTACATTTGCCTTGGTATGTGACCAGGTTGCTTCAAATCAGTGATTCCCAGGGAGGAAAGACTTCTCCTTCAGGCCTCTTTGTGCGTCATGTTGACACAACACAGAGGACCGTCACTAATCTCCATCAAACCTGACCCCCATGGCAGGGTCACACTTTAGGGTCATCACATGACCACACATAAGAAGCTAACTATCACCAAGGGCCTCTAGCTTATTACCTTTCTAGCTTTACAATTGGCTGAGAGATTGCAGGTGAAATTAGACTAGCCTACACTGACTGTCGCATCATATGACAAGATCCCATCTGCGTGTGGATGATGGATACAAAAGGCAGGTGCCATCTTCTGTGTCTGTGTTTATAACAAATCCCTATGCTGCTTGTGAGGAGATTAAATGGACCTTGCCCGCCTTTCAATCCAGTTGACGACGAGAGCAACCTGTTTGTACACGAACAGCAACGCGACCGCAACGTCCTGTCTTTTAATGGCCGAATAAACAAACCAGCAGACATAATAACGCGGCGCTTTTGTCAAGGGAAAGGGCAGAGAGCTAGTTAAGGAAGGAGTCTGGCCCCACATGAAAAGGAACAGGGAGGAACAGAGACGCCTGGGTGTTCCTCCAGCATTGTTCGGCCTTCTGCCTCTGAGGGACACCTGTCATTGGCTGGACGGTTTACACAGGTGCCTTAACCCCGCCTGATTTGTCGGCCTTGAAAGGAGGCTTCAATCAACAGGTAGCGGGAAGGGAACAATGGCGACGAGCCTGAAGAAGACCGAGAGAAAGGAGAGAGAGTTGGAGGGCGGAAAGAGAGACATGGATTCTTTAGAAAGCACCTGAGGGTGTGTGTGAGATCATCTGTTTGCCTTTACCCACAATCCCCACTTTTCAGGAAGGAGGAAGGCGTGTGTTTCTCTCTTTCTCAAGAAACTCCTCCTTCAAGTGGCCTGTGCAAATTCAATCGTCCGTCTTCAGTTCCGTTTCACCCTCTTCATAACCTCCCAGTATCCATGGTAACACCACTGTACCCAGGGCATGGTATTACTTGAGGGCCGGGCAAACTCGTGGTCTCTCATGGCACTGGCACTGTGCCAAGACCCAGCCTTAATAATGTGATACTGTTATACCAGCACAACACACACCCTAGCCTCAAGAGCCAGGCAGCGGGGCTTGTTCCGACCACGTTGTTTTTGTTGACGTTTTCCATGTGTGTGTGTGTGTGGTCCCGCTGCCAGGGGGAATGCCAAGTTGCCTCTCACCCTGTGTGGAATGTGGCATGCAAAGGAGACCTGTGTGTGAGCAGGAGATCATTGAGGGAGGGGAAGAAAAATAGTTAAGCTAAAAGATAGAATCAAATTTAAAAGTAGACCTGGGCAATATAACAATATTATATCACAGCTAATTACAGGTTTTCATTTTGTGGGATTTTTAATGTAGTATGATGACTGTTTCAAAGCACATCTTTGGTAACGCAACATTTATAGTGGGGCTTTTGATGCTCATGATTCTTTGTGGGGGAAAGTTCTCTCAAAACAAACCTCAGGGTTTTACAGTTTATTTTGTTAAAGTCCACTAATCAATCAGGTCAAACATATCACATAAGTGTTAGTCTTTCTTTAGTCAAGCGTGGCCTTAACATAGTTAGTGAAGATGTTAATAGTTTTTAAAAATAGTAGTCAAATATTCGAGCTGTAATGTAAAGACAGCAGCTGATATTAGATCACATCCTGAACATTTGATATGTGGCATGCAAATAATCTTTAAATAAACTTCAAAATAGGATTGTATGTGCACCTGCTCCATTTTCACATCCTAGCCACCGGTGGAAACCTGTTAATGTGAGCAACGGGAGTTTAATAACCATCTCTATTTAGAGAGGCTGACCTTTCCAAGCCTGAGAATGTCTCTTGTTTCCCTTCCTCCTTTTAACTGTGGCCATGGCGATAAGGGGACAATGTGTGTGTTTTGTGTTTATCAACGTGTGTACGTGCATGTGTGCTTACGTGTGTGTTACAGAACTTTATTTCCTTGTCGCTACCAAACACTAACCAAATACAGGTAATTGAATCACAGTGTGTCCACTTACAGAGTGTGTGTGAGACTGTGTGTTGACTTCCCTGTAAATGTGTTTGCAGAGCACTTAGAAGGAAGCATGAGCTCACGTTGGAAGTTGTTGTTAAAGATTGTTGCTTTTAATTACTAAATAATTCATTGAAATGGTCTTTCTAGTTCAGAAAAGGAAGCGACTGAGACATAAAGCAACATTGTGTTCCTTCTCTGCAGAAGCTAAGACACAAACGGTCCAGATAAGTCCAGAAAGACATTAAATGACAGTGGCCGGGGGATCAACTCTCCTTTATCTGTGCTTTCCTTCTCATAGGCAGGAATGTTAATGGTGGCTTTGTGATGGCTTCAGTTCTCCGGTGTGACTGACGGGTGACTGGCAGCTCTCAGAGACTCTCAATGGGGAAAGTAGAGAGACTTCAGTGTTTTAAAAGAATGATAGCTTTAATTTGATTTGGAGCAGCCTCTGAGGTTAAATGAAAGTTCACACGGTACTTGTTCCATTAAACGGTTTATGTAATGTTTCTATTTACAGGCTTGATACCAGCCGGTTGTGTGGGGAAAGTAAACACGGTCACTGGCAAGCAAATAACATGCAAATAGAAATTGAGCCTGAAGAGCTGCACATAAAAAGAACCACACACAATTGTTCTTTGTATGACATGAGAATCACTCAGCCTGGGAGCATTTTGCAGAGCACAAGCAGTTATGAATTCACTACATCCTTGTATGTAAAAGTGTAATAATGTCAGGCTTTAAAAATCATCCGTGGCAGGTATTTTTTTTAATATTGAACAGATAAGAGTATGTTCTCCAGCCATGACTGGAGGGCTGACGCTAACAGCTAAATAAGCCAAAGCTTTACCCTCTCTGTGTTATTGCGGTATTCTAGGCCTGGAGGCGTGTTTTTAGATGATCTGTCAGGGCTTGCTGATATGCAGCACTACCACATGTCCAAGGAAACACTCTATTATTAAACAAAAAAGATCATAGGAGACTTTAGTATGCTACCAACCCTCTTTGCAAAGGATAGTGTTCTTAAATAAGGGTTAAAGTGGTTAAATGCTAAATTCCTCCTCATTGGTTCCAGTGTTGTGAAATGAAATGATACAGCCTAATGCTGCACATGCACATGCTGCTTATTAAGACATGTTCTGTATTTTGTAGGTTACCTGTCCAAAGTGTTGAGGAACTACAGCGAGGAGGCCTGTGACGGAGACTTTCTGTCCGTTCGCTGCCCGCCCCGCACCACCATCACCGTCCAATCAGCTTTCTACGGGAGGAAAGGAGCCTCCGACCCCAAACAGTGCCCTCAGAGCTACCAGGCCCTCTTTAGTTCTTATAACCCGCGGGAGGATGACCGATATTGTTCTGTGTCCACAGCACTACAGGTAATAACTGAACTCACACTTTCCTCATAGTGTTTTGTATCAGAAACTGACAATTTTCTCATTTTATAGATTACTTTTTCTCATTTTTTTTAAAGGACCTGTAGGCTAAATTAATCATGTACAGGTTTCTTAATTCCTCTCCAGTGTCTTCCATGTGTCCCTGATGTGGATCTTTGCATTTGTTCAGCTTAGGGTTAGGGTTAGTCCACTCTTCACACACTTTCATTTGTGCAAAGTGGATCCTCCTGGGAAAAAGTGTCCTGTAAAGTGGTCAAATATGCCAAGGGTTTTATTTTGGAGGACCACAGTGATTATGCAATGCTTTGTGAGGATGTTTTCCGGCAAATTAAACTCTCTAAAGAGGAAGCATGCTTGTTCCCATGTGACAAAGCGATTTCATGGGGTCCTTGCCTTTGCATCCTCTCCTAAATTGGGATGCGACTGAAGTGAACCCTTGCTTTGCAGCACCAATACAAGCATACACAAACACATCCTGTTCAGCATTCATTAGGTGGTTTGGTTTATTCTTAGTCCCCATGACTTGTCGCGTCGAACACCCTCCGATTCTATAATAGCCAGGACAGCCATGAATGCACAGACACAGAGAGTGCATTGTGCCAAAGTGAGAGAATGACTGACTGCTGCGCCACCCCCATTAGCACAGCACTGAAGAAACCCATTGTGCCACCTGAGCATGACCCCGGGTCTGTTGGTACTACATGAATGTCTACATATACCATTTTAATCTGATGGTTTTTTTTATTCATCATTTTATCTGTGAAATGTCCACAAATTAAAAAAAGTAAATAGATAATTATCTTGACCATTAACCATTAACAGTTCCCAGAGCAGAAGATGGCATTTTCAGAAATGGTCTTTTGTTGTTTTTCCTTCATTTTTTTAGGAATACTACACCCACAGACTTACAATTTGCATTTCAAAAACTCACTGTGTGGTACCTTGTATTGGTGAAGAAAATATTTGTTTTCCGGGATACACTTTTGTATATAAAACAATAAAAAAACGGACGAAATTCCTTATAAATTGGACTAAACCCGTCCACATGTACATCATGGTACTTACTCCGTCTGAGTCAACAAGTCTGTGTCTTAAAAAGTACGGTTTTAGCCAGAATGCACCTGATCTGAGGTATTAAGCATTCGACTGGATGAAGGAGGACTGGATTATACTGCACGATGTTGTGTGAAATACAAATGTTCATTTCAAAAAGTACTTATACTTATACTTAGTACTATATTCCCCAAACAGCTGTAGACAGTAATGTTGATGCTTCTCAAACATGCATAAATACTTTTTGATTTGGTGCTGTAGAGAGTATTCAGCAGGTGTTTATGTGACTACAGCAGCTGTGTGTATTGTAATGTGGGGAATAGGGGGGAACACACAAACATCCCTTATTTCTCCCTCTGCATTCCATGATCTAATGTACAAAATGCTTCTCCTTTCATGTTAAATTCGGGGGTGGGCTGTGAACAAAATCCATTGAGTCATTCCTCCAGCGAGTGGGATTTCAGAGGTATTGTGTTGGAATGTGCTCACCTGGGATACAGCCGGCTAAAGATGATGAAACTGGAGAAGCAAGAGAATACCAGGAAATGAGTGGAGTGGGGCTTTCTCTTTACCTGCTTCTCTCCTCCATATTCCCATGGCCATAAGCAGCCTGTTTGAAGTGGTTTTAGGTTTGCCTGCTGCTGGTCTAACCATCGTTGGCTTATTGTTCTCCCTCTAACCCTCTCTTTGGTCTTCCCCCGCTCTCTGTCACTCTCTCCCTCTTTAGAAAATGCTGGACGAGTGCCAAGACAGAAGGAGCTGTCAAGTCCTTGTCAACAGCCGCGTGTTCGGGACGGACCAGTGTCCCGGCAGCAGCAAATACCTCATTGTCTGGTACAAATGCAGACCTAGTAAGTCCCTCAGCACCTCCCATCTTGACAGTGACTCACACGGCTGACCCTCTCTGTGCGTTTTTCTTTTTTTCACACTCCTCCACTTTGAATCAGGAATACACCAGGGGTTGGGTCACTTCATCTGCTTTTGAGACTGAATAACAACATTTACAGTCAGAGGAATTCCAGTTCCACATTTTGGTTTGTTTGTGTTTCAGAGCAAACTGTCGCAGTTTATAAAAAGAAAATAGTTTAGTATCAGAGCTAATTGCATTTTTAATGAACATCCTTCTTTCAACCAATGACCCTCACGTGGATGATTGATATCCTCTGTCATTTTTCTTTTCCATAATGTATATGTACTGTAAGTACGGACACATATTTTCTCACTAACCCATAGCTTTTAGGTCTACAAAAAATCATTTCTACATTTTAAATCATCAAAAGGGCTAATGAAAAAGAACGCTGATATATCCCCAGTATAAAGCATCAATGCATTTCATGACAAGGTAGCATATGAAAGCTACAATGTGCAACTATAGTAGATTTTTAAGCCCAGGCAATATGCCATTAATTGATTTAGGTATCTTGGTATTTGATGATAATAAATAACAGAAATATTACGTTTTGCCTGCAGTATATTTTATATTTGCCAAAGTTATTTCTGTTTACTTTTCATTCGACCAATTTCCCCAATCATCCAACTTTAAATTGACATTGAATTAAGCATCAAAGAATGGATGGGATTCCTTCCTGCTGCTGCCATCTTCCCGTATTTATTTAAAAGAACACAATCCTTGCATACCTCTCCCTTTATCCCTCTTCTTCCCTCTCTGTGTGAGCCAGGAAGTTAAGAGTATCACTCCAGAGGGGAGCCACAACACCGCAGTAATCCCACCCAGATTCTAGTCTCCATTCATGGCTCAGTGCTGTGCAGCGGTTCACCCTAGAGTGACCAGAAGTGGGCATTAATCCACTGATCCCCCTGCCTTCCCCACTTTTTCTTTCTCTACCGGACCCCGGGGCCAATCAACAGCTCTTTGTTCACTGTCACTTAACCAATGACTTCTCATGGGAAGAGAGAAAGGCAGCATGGGGTGTTAGTGAGGTGAGACGGGCAGGTGTCACTGCCTCTGAAAGGAGAGGTGGGTGGAGGATGGAGGAAGTGAAGGAGAAAGGGAGGCAGTGATAATGAACAAGAGCAAATCCATCACCAACAGATATAACAAACCTATTTTATCTGCTCTCTTACTCTCTCTTATTCCTGCATTCCTGTTCCACTCCCCACATGGTAGCGACGCTGTTGTGTTTTTCTTTGCTGGCCAGTGGAGCTGCTCTGGCTGTCACAGGTCACTGTGGCTGGATGTGTGTGAGGAATGCTTCTGCATGGCTCTACATGTCCACTGAGCACCTCTGTTTCTGCCTGTTTACACACGATCAGGCTTTTTGTCAGTTCCTTTTTCGTTAAAGGTTGCTCTAAAGAGGTTGGATTAAATCAAAAAGATGGAAAACGTTGAGAAATATTTGGCAGATACTCTTTACTTTCAATAAAGACAACCAAAAAATACAATATTTTTTATATAACGTGTTGTAGGGGTCAAATCCAAGAGACAAGTAATATGCTAACCATAATTGTGTTATTCATAAATTCCAAATTGTGATATTTCTTATGTTTTTTAACCGTTATTCCAGATCTACAAGCTTCAAATCACACTGTTCTTGATTGTATATATTACATATCATATTCTATTACATGTAGACTTTTTGCACTACTTTTTATTTTGTATTTTTGTATTTTATTATATATGTTGGATTGTTGGAGGAGCTCAGGTCATAAGATTTGCATTGCCTTTTCTACACTGTAGCTTTGTGCATATGACAATAACATCTTTGAATTTAATTTAATTGAACCTGCCACTAAAAACGGGTTTCCCTGTTTTGCTTTTTGATTATTTGTGACACATCTGTATCCTCTATCCCCAGACGAGTATAAGAGTAAGGTGGTCTGTGAGGAGGAGAGGATGAGGCTGAGCTGCAAACGGGGGATGCAGATCGCCGTTTACTCCGCCATGTTTGGCCGAACTCAACAGGGCACCCTGGAGTGTCCCCTGCACCACAGGAGGGCCCCGTCAGTAGGTGAGGCCCCTTCTCACTTTCAGACTGGTGGAGATTTGTCATAGCTCTTAATTCAAATTGGTTAGAAATGATTGTCATGTCTGTAAACATTCAAACTGTAAAGTGTAAACTTAATTTTGGCTTGCAAACACATGACCTGTTTTGATTGTTAAAAAAGGTATATAAATATGATGGACATAACTGACCTGATACCTATTTAAAATAGTTTAATAATGACGTTAACTGGGAATGTTTTAAAGGTCACCTATCAAGCAATATTTAGGCAATAGCATAGGTCTCAGATATATAAAAATGTATAAAAAACATGTCTATTAAGTGTTTTGCTCAAAATACCAAACAGATCACCCATTCTAGCCATGCCTCATATCCCTCTATTTCACTTCCTGTTACTAAAGTGCTGATTCGGGGTATAAAGCTTTAAAAAAAGAAAAGAAAAAGAGGGGGCATAGCTTAAGCCTGCTCATGCGGACCCGGCAGATACTGTCTAAAATAAATGCTGCGGTGATGAAACGCCAAAACCACATCTAGGATTATTTCTGAAACATTATGGAGCTCAAAGGCTTTCTCTCTTGCCGGTTTACCACAAGGTGAGTTCCTTTTTATTTCCTGCTTCTTCACACACATGCTCTCTGCAGTACTGGTTAGCTCTGAGTGTTAGCGATGCTCGCTAATGTAAACAAACGCCATATTACGTCCAAAACACGTCGGGCATTGATTCTGATCCACGTGGGACCACCTCGTGGGTGCCATCCGATATGACGTAAAAAACGTCATATCTAGATCAGCTCATTGTAGCCCTGTTTTTCAGAGATTTGCGCACGGAGGAAAAGAGAGAGGGTTTTATTTTCTGACACTTTGTGAGTTCCCTGACATGCCGGGGACACATATTTATGTATAAAAGACATCAGAAAGTGCATTTTGCATGATAGGTCCCCTTTAAGTTATTTTCACAAAGGTAACACACTAATACTTCAAATGACAAATCGTTATCCTAATGACGTCAGACTAAGTAGTGACTAAATAGCTTTTTGATTTATTGGATTTCTCACTGAATTAAACTGCACAAATACTTCCAACACATACTGTATTTTTCCATGTGCGTATAAATAAATCAAAGTCAAGTTTAACATAACTTGGGCTTCATTAAATGTAGTTTATGGCAGTCATGGTATAGCTTTAGGCTACAGTTACCTCTTCACAAAGTTAATTCCTCTTACTGTATTCCTATCAGGTCCCAGGCTGCTGTTTTGTAGTGACCTTATGCTTAGAGGTCTGGGAAGAGGTGATAATCATATTAACACCAATACTGTTTGACATTATCATTATTATTCACTCTAGCATTAGTCTTTGGGTCAGAGTGAGGTCAGGACGAATGAGATTTTCTTACTTGAAGACACAAGCGGGGAATGCAAATCGAGTCTGCTTGCGTTTGCATGCTGTTGAAAGGTCTTGTCTTGCTAATGTACTTATACATATTAATGATTCAGGAGGAGTAGCATACCAGGCGTTATTATGCATCCAGCAGATGGAAAATGAAATGTTTGAATTGATGAGTTTTACTCGTCAGGGCTCGAGTACCTACAAACCACACAGACAAATACAAACGCTGGCAGCCTCATAACTCCTGGCTTCATGAATTTCTTTAACTTGAGTGATATTGCCTCGAGATGCTGTTGTGGTTTGACAGATTTGATCATTTCCTCTACAGCTTCTCAGCCACAGGGGCTCTTGAGCAAACACTTGCCCGCCACACCCGTCCTGGATGTCAACGGTTTACTCTTTCCCCCTGCGATTACTCATTGATAATTTTTACTTTTACAAACATATCACTATTTGGAATTTCTCCATCTTGTTATAAAAGCAAACTAAGATATATAAAACCACCACTTAAACTCGTAGACACACACAAACATGCACACACACATTACCAGGGGAAATGGGCTGGAATGTAGATCAGGTGTCTCTGTCATCTAAAGCGCAGAGTTTGGCCCGCAGAAAAGGGACAGTATTGAGTTCCCTCGAAGTATGCATGTGTGTGTGTGCGTGTGTGTGTGTGCGCACATGTGTGATTACTTGGGATATCCAGATGTACCCTCGCCCTTGTTTAGGGGAATGTTAATGACTCTAAGCTTGGATCCATGACAAGTATTAGCATAACCGTAGCTACCATGGTGGCCCTGGCCTCTGCTGGCCGGCTCATTTATTTGGCTTCCACCTTTTGTTTCGTTAATGTGTAGAGGGAAGTGTACACTGATGTTGTAAATAAGTAGCCCGAGCAGGTTAACTGATGTGTGCTTGAAAAAAAGGTGTGTTTTTTGTTGTGAAGGAAGTCTAAATGTCATTCTTTGAGATTCTCAATTCCAACAATGCACCACGAACTTGCCCTGAAGTGTGTGTTTGTGTGTGTATGACAGAGGTGACACAAAGGGTCGAAATCAGATATACAGATATAAAGAAAGGCACTGTGTGGATGTGTCTGTGTGTGTATTCTATATGAGCATTGAGGACTGCTTTGAAGCAACCTCAGCCGGTCCTCCACTCGCAGGTGGACCAGGAATGTGCGACAGGTAGGTGAGTAAGGGCTGGCCTGAGATCTGGTTTCAGACTCAGGATTAAATACAGTAGCCGAGTTCTCCAAGCATTGATGGGAAATGTACTACTGTTACAGTTGTACAAAGGCCAGATTAGAGCAGAGGAGAAGTTGTGCTTACTGTCAAGTCTCATGTTAACCTTGTGTGTGTTTACAGGAACTCACATGTACACAAACGCCTTGTTGTTATCAACTCTGCCAAAGAGGGTTTTTTGTTTGTATGTCTCTCAGCAGGAGTACAGAGAAACAACTGGCCCTATTTTCATGGAAGAAGGAAGTTGTGCCAAATAACCTCTTTATATTTACGAGTGTATTCCGCATTAAGTGCTTTATTTTTCACTCACAAAAACAGCGTTGGCAGAGGTCTGCATACTCCGAATGCCCTTCTATTACAGCGTGTTTCTCTATCTCTCTATCCCACACACATGCATACACACTCACACTCCCACCAACACCTCCTCAGGCTGTTCCAGACAGTCTAGTGGAGCCCTGGTGGGATTTCCCCTGTCAGCCTCCTCTTTGATGTGGCTCCCGTGTCACCAGGATCAGGAAGCGAGGGTGTCTTGAGTGACAGTTCAGACACACACCGTTGATTACTTTTTAAATTGTCTTCCCTCTTTTCTGCCCGCCCGTCAAAGTTTGTGTGCGGCCTCGCATGCGTGAGTGTGTGTTTGTGGATAGAATAACTTTGGGCTTGACGGTTTCATTATGCGTAAGTTTGCTTTGAACCTATTTTGATTTTATGTCTCCTAACATGAGTGTTTGATTGCGCCAAAAAAGTTGGTTATAGTAATCTTCCTAAACCGCACCACTCTGGCAAACTCTCTACTGCCTGAGGTGGCTGCACCTGCCCAGTGAAATATGCTTAATGTTAGAAAGACATAACAGCGAGTAGCATCAGGAAATCATTATAGACAATTTATTTTCTGATATCCCTTCAAGCATTTTCCTGATATCTACAAGTTCTGTTTCAGCCAAAGTCTAGGGTTGCAATTAAACAGAAGCTACCTGCCAAATAGAGTTGGGCTTTTCGACATTAATCGAAAAGAAAGTATCTTTTGGAGGAAGTTTTTACTCTTACTTTGTGAATTCTGTAATTCTCCACCATCGAGAGTTGAAGAGAGCCACTATCCGGTTGCGTGTTGAATCCAAAGCCCTTGAAAAGTATAACAGACGAAACAAGTGCATACGCAGGCATGTGCGCACAGAAGTAAGACCTCTTTGATGTCGTCTGCTCCTTGGATTTTGGGGTGGGGTTGGAGTGGTGGAGTTGGACAGGTCTTGGCGGTGATGGAGAATCCTCAAAGCAAAGGGGCCTGCTTCAGCCCTCCTCTCTCATCTGCCCCATTACCATCACACACACCTCCTGACATCTAAATAGCCCCCCCATGCTTGGCATCCAGGGTCTCAGACCGCTTCTGTTCTTCTTCTTTTTTTATTTAATGTAAGGCCACTGCACTTTCACTTTTGGGTTTCCTTTAGACACAGCTAATGTTTGAAACTGAGGCACGAGATGGCTGGTGTCTCATGTGATCACAGCAGCTTTTCAAAGCCCAACAGGCACAGCTGCTGGTCAGATGTAACACTTGGCTTTAAGAAGTCTGTTCCGGTTGTTAGGGTGCAGTCCGCTTCCCTGTAACCCTATCTGCGTTCTCTCTAACTTTGATGCAAACAGAACAGATAAGTAGCAGGATGTTGGTGTGTTTTCGACTAGATTAGATCAAATACGGTTCTGTGTGGTTTCAACCTGTCCTATAGTCCAGCTAAAGTAGAAGAGGATTTCAGTCAGTCAATTCTTTAATGCCAACTTTTTTACTGAACTTCTCTAGAACAACATACCTGATGTTTGTATTACAGCTACCAAGAACATCAGTGTTTTTCAGGATAACAGATTCATGCAAGGTTTAGGGCATACAGTCACTGCTGTTTGGAATTCAGATCTGGTGTTTAAATATATGAAGCAACACGTTCTCATGTATAACACATAAGTGACTCTGATTGAAAAATAGCTTGCTATCAGCTTACAAACACAGCTGAAAATAGTATTTGTATGTGTGTTGTGCTGGACACTAACAGTATGAATATGCTCACACTTCACTTCACTGTGTCACAGTGAAATTAAATCCTGCTGGAGCAAATACTACTTTCATAGTAAGTGTGTGTGTGGGAGAGCCGTCTCAAGTTCATTAATGGCATTCACAGAAATCACTGCAGTGTGCAGGTCTGTTAGCCCTATCACAACATGTTAGAGTCACTTTTCTCTCTCAAAGAAAGACTTGTAATCCCACAACAGTCACTTAAGCCCACCTATCAAATGATACGTTTCTCAGGTGAGTCAGAGCGAGTGCTTTTTTTTGTCCTCCCATTGTCTTGGAAATTCCAGGGAAGGTGTGCGGGGGTGGAAAACCTGGAGGATTGTTATGAAGCGTAGCTGAGGGAGTTTTCTGGGAAAGGTTGCTGTGTGTGTTTATGTGTTTGCAGGTGTGTCGGGGGGGGGTTGTGTGTCTGGATGTGTATGTGCTCAGTGGTGTTTTTGTTGGTCACACAAGACATAAGAGCTACTATTTGAAGATGTTATTGTCACGCTGTTGCCTTATGAAATGATAACATTATGTAAGAATCATTCTGTGGAAACGGGACACGAGCCAATTCTGACAATGTTTTCACGCAAGATGGATGTATAACGGATGACTGATGTGTCAAACTGATCTGAGCAGCCAAGTGGTGCTGCTGGTACGGGGCAGCATATCAACACACACACATCAAAACATGCAAGATGGATAGAAGACATAAGCGGAGGATTTCACAATCTAGAAGTGCTCAGATTTAGCAGGTGTCAGTGACTTTTTTGACAAGCTGTGGGCGATCAACCACGGGTCATTTAAAGGAAAGTCTTCGCTTTTTCGTCGTGTTTCGTTTTCTGTGATCAGATATGAGGGAGAATAAGTGTGTGTTTGTCAATAAAGCTCCTCCCTTTCCGTCAGTCACTGCTTCTTCTGACTGTGGACCTTCTCTTCTGAACCATAGGCCGGTCCTTGTTGGCCGCATGGAGGAAAGAGGGTGGCAGCACAGGCTCTGAGGTGGTTGGGGGGCAAAGGTTAGACGTATGAGGGGTTATTCATGCTCTGTGTGTGTGAGAGAGAAGACTGTGTATGCTTGTCTGTCTGTATTAAAGTCGCTAATGAGAGCCAGAGGAGGTCAGACCCTGAGGAATGCTCTTTTAAACTGCAGAGAAGTGTGTGTGTGTGTGTGTGTGTGTGTGTGTGTGTGTGTGTGTGTGTGTGTGTGTGTGTGTGTGTGTGTGTGTGTGTGTGTGTGTGTGTGTGTGTGTGTGTGTGTGTGTGTGTGTGTGTGTGTGTGTGTGTGTGTGTGTGTGTGTGTGTGTGTGTGTGTGTGTGTGTGTGTGTGTGTGTGTGTGTGTGTGTGTGTGTGTGTGTGTGTGTGTGTGTGTGTGTGTGTGTGTGTGTGTGTGTGTGTGTGTGTGTATACGTGTATACGTGTATAAGCACGGTTGGACAAACAATAAATGTGTGTGTGTGTCTCCTCCTCTTGTCTCTAGAAGTCTTTATCTATCCCAGAAACCCCCACCAGATCCTCCGCGGGCCCCCTGCTCAACTAATCACCCAGTCAGGGAATCAAAGCTGAAGCTAATGGAGGGGGGGGGGGCTGTCTGTCAGAGGACTGCCTGTCAGAGAGGAAGTTTTTCAGCGTGGCACACCAGCTCAAACAAGCCCAGTATGAAGAGGAGAAAAGAGGGAGATTAAAGCACATCATTGTGCGGCAGCATTGGCACATAGTCACTGATATAGATACTTACATACAGAGATACACACACACACAGATCTGTACAAGTCATCGACACAAAGTTAATGGCAGAGAATGATAATAGATAAATGAGGCTACATCTTTTTAAGTCAAATATCTGATATATCTTTGTCATGAAACGTGTCTAAATGGCATGAATTGATTTCTTGGCGGGATGCCTCTGTCTCCGTTGTATCTCAGTCAGAGCTGCAGTGATTACAATCATTTTAGTCATTTCTTAAGAAAAAAATGCCAAGCTTTTGCTGGTTCCTGTGAGGAATTGAAGTATCCTTTCTCATATATGACAGTGACATGTTTTCTGTTTTCGGGCGGTTGGTTTTCATCAGATGCAGTTCCTCTGACATGAGCAGAGGATGCTCAGCTAAGTGGGATAGTAACCCTGTATACATTTGCTATAAACATCTGTTGTACAGTTGTTCCACATATTCCTCTATGGTGGAAATGGATGCAGGCACGTATTTGACTCGTTTCTACTGAACTAAAGCACTATGAAGGGTGTGTCTGCGTGGGGAGAGGTGTATAAAAGAACAGCTGCATTCAGTTCTTTGGAGACTTTCTGAGACGTGCAGCGGGGCACGTACAAAGCACCAGGGAATAAAGTTCCCCGTCACATCCATCATAGTGCCAGCAGCATTACGGAAGTTTCCTCAAATCACTGAAGACTTTTAAGTTCGATATCCGTGAATCCAACCGGTTGTGTTTAAAGTGACAGTGGGAACTGTCTAACCTTTGCCGTGTCTCTGACTGGTGATCCAGTTACACTCACTGGTTCCCACAGGATTCCCTACCAATTGCATCCTGGTTGGGAATTCCAGTGTGTCGGCTCCAGCTGGGGAGTGTCCGGTTGCCCCTTCGAACCGCGTCCGAGTGGACAGACGTTGATTCAGGTTCACATTCTTGAGAAGCTTTGATCTGGTTTTGCCGGAAATAAAGCGTGGTGGTTTGATTATGATTCTTAAAAGTCAATGAATTCCCAATGTTGACACTGTGCATGACCACTGGCTTGCCCTCTTTCACCTCCATTTGCCCTTTGACCTGTACCATAATTCATTGTGGCCCTTGTGTGAGGAAACCCTTAATCAGCCGGGTCCCTCTACCTGTCTGATCTCTGTCTCTCTCTCTGGGGCCCACCGGGGCAGACGGTGCGAGAGACCAGTGTCCACTTTCAAAGGCTCGTCTCCTTGTGTTGTTTTTAGGGGTTAGATGGGCCGTGGGGGCCTGTGAGAGGCATCCGTGTGGAACCACGGCCCATCCACATTCCCACAGGACTCAGCGGGAGGTTCTCCCCACTTTATAAGCGCTCCTCACACCTCAGTTAGGAGAGTCACTAAAATTCACGAGGTGGAATAAAAAATACCGATTTCAGTAGTTAGTGTTGAAGTTTAGTTACAAGAATTACGTGTCTTGTGTCTCTGGAAACACTTTCGCCTTGAAACGCTCACTATAAAAAACACAATAACACAAAACCTTTTTTAACCAATTGCCTTTTAAAACCTTTTATCAATCATTAGTGTCACAAAATGGCTGGTTCCAGCTTCTCAAAAGTTCTTGTTACTTTTTTCTTTATTTTATACAATGATGAAGTGAATATCTTTATCTCAATATCTCAAGTACGAGCACAGCGGTTCAGCATATCCTCCTCTGAAGTCCCGTTATTAATGTGGGAGAGGAAGGAAGTGAGAGCGGAAAAAGGAAACAGAAGAGCCTCATCTGTCCGGACAGAGGATGAGGGCTACAGAACAAAGGGGAGCTGGCAGGTGCTTGTGCGATGATGTATGAGAGACACATCCATTACTCTGTCTGGTCCTCACAAACACACATGTTTCTGTATGTGTGTCTAATAGCGCAGTAGACCGTAATTAGCACCAAATGACAGTGTTTAATATTAACCTTCCTAGAAAACATGATTTCACAGAAGAAGGATTTTACAACTCGGTCAACTGTATTACCTTCCATCGGTATGGATGTCTTAAAATAATGCATCACTTCCTGTTCTCCCTCTTCCCGTCAGACTGCCAGTCGTCTGTGGCTCTGCAGGTTCTGACCTCCCGCTGCCAGGGAAGGAAGAGCTGTCTGGTCCGAGCCTCCAGCAGAGACTTTGGAGACCCCTGTTACTCCGGCACCAGGAAGTACCTGAACGTCATCTACACCTGTGGTGAGTCCCAAACACCTTTACTGAGGGCTTCACTTTCCTACCACCAGGGGGCGATGTCCACCCACTGATCAGCTTGACTTCAGTCCTCTCTATGACGTTATAGCTTTGTTTTTCAGAATGACTTGCTCTGAAATAGGCACTGTTTTACTCAGAGAAGAGGTATATCTCTAGGTATGAATATGATGCTATTGGGTGCAAACTTATACATATTTTTCTACCAGTGGACAGTAAAGATTAATATAGGACCCCACTAACCCTTTCATGGTAGCCTTAGTAAAAACATTGTGTCGTAGCTATTACTATTATTCATTTGGTGTATGTGCTTTGGCATAAGCATGGATTTAGGGAGAGGGAACCATAATCACTTTGCAGACAATACATGATTTCTTGTTTTTGGACAGGCGAAGCACTTTATTTAATTAGAGGGAGCTTCAAAGTCTCTAAACTTATTTTCACCCTCCAAAGTTTTGAGAAGAAAAACAACTTTGGCGTCATATCTTCTGTTTTGAGCTTTTTGTCTGTGTGGTTCAGGGAGAATGATGGTCTTCCTTTTTATCTGTTCCCCGCCCCTGGGCTAATCCTGATCTGTCAAGGCTGTAATTCATTAACCACACGCGCACACACACACACACACACACACACACACACACTCACACTCACACTCACACTCACACTCACACTCACACTCACACACACACACTTGTTATCCAGACATCTCCTGCACCAGGAATTGATCAATCAGCACCGTGGCCTGGAGTCTTTCATTCCCACCAAAATTGCCAGCACACAGATCCAGATCCGAACGAGGGCAAATGTTACGCCTGGCGTTACAATGTGATTTATGGGATCTGATTTTAAGGCTTGGATTTGGTAAGATATGTGTCTGTTCCCACTGGGCCTGAAAATGTTGCTTATGGGACTGTTAATTAATCAAATCCTGTGTGTGAATTGCATTTTCTGCTGTCTTTCTATAGCTCTTTTCGATGCTTGAATTTGCACATGGGTTGAATTAAAATGCTCAAGTTCTGATCACACTTTATGGCTTATTTATTGTCGTTTTGAAGACCCTCCACCCTCAGTCCATTGTCTCCAGACGCTGTGTTTGTCAGACGTCTGTCGTCCATCCTTTATCTCAGCACACTGACTGCTCAGCTGTGTTTAAGGAGTCTTTGGCTCTGCCTGACCTCCCTTATCTGTCACTGATAACGCAACGTACTCTCCCGACAGCTCTGGTGCCAAGTCGGTAAATGTGTTAGGTATGTAGGATGTGGGATGGTGTAAATGTTCAACATGGCGCTGTGAGGGGCTACAGAGATGGGCTTTCTGCGCTGCGGTGGGAGTGGAGAGGGCTGAACGTGAGTAAATCAGTCTAGCTGCTGTAGACATGAAGTCACTGGTAGCTCCAGGCTCCAGCAGAGGGGTAATTTTGGGGGATCCTCTTTCATTGGTGGTCGAGTGTGTGTAGGATTGACCCCATTTGTGTCGGAGTAGGGGACGGAGGAAGTCTGTCTGCACATGATTGGTTGCATTTCTGTGTGGATTTGTATGCATGTGCAATGTTTTGTGACAACTAAAAAAGTAGTACTTACCGATAGCACAAGATTTATGGACTCATTATCTTGTAGAGGAATTTGAGAGCAATATTTCAGTTTTTTTCAAAAACAGCTTGAATGTGCGTTTATGAATTTCTATACAACTAAATAGGTTAGCATCAACCACTCTGCCTTAATCCACTTAAACTTTTCACTGTCCCCGTTTTAGTGCTATACTTTTAGGGGCCTGCCAAAAGTTGAATAACTTAAGTAACAGTGTTTTATGAGTGTATGTGTGTCTCGGTTGATGTTTGGGTTAGAGTACATGTTTGATTCACATTATGGACTGGAAATCGGCCTTGGCTTGGCTGTGATTTATAAAGCCATCAACCATCCAAGCTCCAGCTTCTTCCTCACACAGCCCCAGGGGTGGACTCGCTCCTGAGCAATAACACAGCAGCAAATGGGCCGGAACCAGCCATCAGTCTCTCTGCAGATCACACGCACTCCGCACAGCCGCCACTGTCAGGCTCCATTTACATCCTCTCCCCCTTGAAGAAGTCCCGATGGTTTGTTTGTTTGCGAAAAAAAAGTACTTCAGGAGTCCGATCACTGCTGTAAATATTGATTATTGAAGATGAAGTCTTGTAGCATTGAGTTCTGTCTTGCAAATTATGAATAGCCTTAACTTCGAAATATTTACTCTCGGTGCAACTGCTGGAGATTGATGAATGAGTCTGCTCGGGGCACTTTCTTCAAAAAGCAAGTTTCCACTACGGCCCCTTTGAAGTTTCTTTCTTGTAATGCTGTGATTGTTACTTTGTCAGGGTTTGACCTACAGCTTTTGAAGCAGCAGGAATGAAAATGAATCCATCTGTATGTTAAGTCAAGTTCTGTCTGCATATAGTGTAAGCTTGTCTTGGTCCTATTTATACAGCTTGCTCAACCAGACCTCTGCAGCCCCACAGCATCATCCTTCCACTGCGTTGTCAGAGCGGAGACACAGCCTGAGGCTTCTGTTTGTGTGTCTTTGAACAACAGCGTTAACTTCATTCCACATTATGTGATTTATTGGTTCACGCCGATCAAATCTGAGAAATAATCGTTCTCTCCTGGCTGCGTCAGAGCGCAGTCCTTTTCCTCCCTGGAGAAGTATAAAAGCTTCAGAATTTATATCAAGGCCTCTCTCTTAAACTCCCCTCCATGGCTCCCCCTCCAGAGTGTTCAGTGTGGTGTAATGGATCACCCTGAACGAGCCACACAGCCGCTGTTGAACCATGCAGAGCAGACTTTCAGGGGGAATAAGAGGTTATGGAAAGCCTAATGAACAGGTCTAATTTCTGAGGAGGAAATGGATTAATTGCGGCACTTAGCAACTGGTTAACACGGGGTCTGGGTTTGGAGGGGGCGGGGCTTACTGGATGAGGCAACTCAGGCATTTCCAACCCGGGGGTATTTTGAAACCTCAAGATGACTAAACAAATCCTAATGAAAATCAGTCCATTATTATCCTAAATGTGTTTTCTTCCACTATGACTTCCACCTTTATGGCTTTTGGACCGGATGCAAAAACTAATTAATCCAGCAGATATTTTTTTTACTTTCGAACTCATCAGCAAAGTAGGGATGTTCACATTTTAGAAATAAATTGCCCTCTTTAAAGCTTCAAAGTTGATGACAGGACAAATTGGACATCAATTACAAAAATATGTTTTTATTATTTGTAATATTATCTTGTGAACCCTATATGTATTCCTGAGGGATGTTTTGTATCTATGTAAGCCTCGTAAATAAAACAAAACACCGGTGATATGTTTTTTAATAACAGAATCATAGGTCTTTTAGAAAAGGAGGAAAATATTCACTTTTAACACATTTAAGATGGCGACTTAATAATAATAATAATAATTCTGGGCCTTTTTGGTTTACCTGGTTTCAATATCCACACAAAACTCTTACGTAAGTACATAAAACATAAATATTCTTATACTATAACATTACAAGTTGCCGAAAGTCACTTTTTTCAAATGTTCTAAAGTAACACAAGTGGGTTTTCCTCTATTGTCCAGCAGGACTTACTGTAATTAAATGTCCATGTTATGCTTTCACCACTTATAGGATAGCGCAGGAGCTGCTAACTGCAGGGACTGAAAGAGGTGTGGTCAGTGGAGGAGCTGCTGGTGTTTTTAATGGACACAATCCGAGTGGTGGAGGCTCTGGAGCTGCATGTGGCTCAGGGGGGAGCTGATTTAGATGTCACAGGGGAAGATCGAGGAAGATAAAAATGTAATTCACAAGCTTTAGGGTTAGGATTATCCCAATTGGTTATGCAGACATACACACGGACACATACACACACATATACATGCACAAAGATACTTGAGGTGCACATGTGGCCGCTGCAAGCCACACACTCCTACGGGTCCCCTGCACACAGTCATGTCAGCAGAGGAGACTGTGGGAAGATGTTTGTTTTGGCCCGGTTGTGTGGAACTGCAGCCCATGCAGGCAGAAACTGCTGCTGTGGGCCGTTCTCCTTTATATCTAACCCTAGAGCTGCAGGGCTGAAGGAAAACATATGATTAGACTGTGGACACTGAAGCAAATTACCACCTTTTATTGTATCTATCATGTAACACACATGCAGGTTTGCAACCAGAAAATGATATTGATTCAAATGTTTGAATATTCATATATACTCATAGATGTATTTAGTTCATTAGGAAGTATATTCTGAAACAAATGTAAAGAAAACCTTTGCTTTGCCCTTTCGCTATCCCCTGTTTTCCCTGTTTATCTTTGACTTCAACTAATCTATAAAACGAATAAATGTAATTTTAACTAATTAAATGTAAATAAACTCTTGATTCATGCATGAATACAAATGTTCAGGGTTTATAAGATTTGATTTGATTTAACTTCCTAAAAACGACAGCTTATTCTAAGGTTATTCATATTTCTCAAATCAAAGAAAACACAGTTACCAAATTATGTATCAAATCAAATCAAATCAAGTTTTATTTATATAGCACATTTAAAAGCGATTTTTGGTCGAGCCAAAGTGCTGTACATGTAATAAAAACACATTACTACAATCACAATAAAAGACAATAAATTACAACAGATATATATAAAAAAATTAAAATAAAACACAAGGAAAAGTCAGGAGTCGTACTCCGCTCTAACTAGAAGGCCAGAGAGAAGAAGTGTGTTTTTAGTGTAGATTTAAAAACCCCTAGGGTCTGGGCCGACCTCACATGGAGGGGCAGAGTGTTCCAGAGCCTAGGGCCAGCTGCTGCGAAGGCTCGGTGCCCTCGGGTTTTAAGCCTGGTCTTGGGCACTACCAGCCCAATGATGATTCAATTATTATTTATTTTACTTAGGACTTAGGATTTTCCTATTTGTTTCCATTTGTTCTGTCCCTTGACTCCAGAGAGCATCTTTTGATAATAGTGTGATTTAAGAAAC